GAAAAAGGAGAGAAGGGCTCGCAAGTCTCGCTCCATTCCGAAAGAATCCCTCCCCCAGGAGTAGCAAAAGTGTAGTCGTTTCGCGCATCCGCAACATCAGCCAGATTCAGCTAGATTTGGTAAAGGAAGTTTGAGGTACTGACCTTCAGAAGAAAGCCTCCCAAAAAGTAATCATAGTAGTTCCCATTTTCTTTCCATTATACCCAATAACCCCAATATACTAATCATCAGCCTGTCATTGGAGCAAAAGCTGCCCGCTCTCCTGCCGCCCGTTGCTTGGGATTTTTGGCTCCATCCTCCTAGCTTCAATGCAGACTTGAACCATCCCCCTTCTACCCTAGCAATGACAGCTGGGCGTCAGTCTTCTTAGGCCATGCTTTTGGCAGTCAGCCATAGGCCATCAGCAAGACTCGGGGCATCCAACTCATGCCAGCATGCATTGTGGATAAGTGCATACGCCACCGCCTTTGCCCCGCGCATGCCGCACCGATGGATTTTACTGTGCGACGTGCATATGCTTGCCCAGTCTGCGGCGGCTAGGATGTAGCACAATTAGTTGTGTCAACTGGGATGTACGTGCGGGATCGCTTCCTTAGGTGTGTCTGAACCGCTGGGAGGTGTCACTTCTGGTAGCATGGTCCACTGTCACGGTATGTGGGGATACAGCCTGAAACTCCATAGACGATGCTGGAAATCGTCAGGCTAACCGAAAAGACAGGGCAAAAGCATGAGGAGTCTTGGCAACAACCTTTTCCCTTTAATCCCAAAGGGTCCATGTAGCTATATGGTAGATACTTAGGCCCTAAAGTAGGTCTATGGGAACCCCTTCGGGCCTTAAGTATATACCATATACCTACATGGACCCTTTGGGAATCTGGTCCATGATAAAGTACGCATCCCTCTTCTCGCGTACGGCCACTTCACTTGCCTGCTGGCATGTGTACTATAGTCTAAACTCCTGGCAGGGATTATCTAGGGGAGTACTATAGTGGTTATTGAGGCGGATACTTGGAGTTTAGACCATGGCGCATGTGGAAGTTTTGGATATGGCCTAAATATTTCTTGAAGCGAATTGCTGTATTCTTGCTTCTATTCCATATATCTCATGTGAGCTATAATCTAATAACCCTGAGAATGCTCCCCTATATAATCCCCTATAAAACCCTCTTCAGGAGTTTAGACTAAATCTCACGTGTTCCTTGGTTCGCTTGGGTCATGGACCCCCTCCCATTTTAACCCTACACCATATATAACCCCAGTATAGTAGTTTCCATTTTCTTTTCCATTATCACCATATAACCCCAATGTACTAGAGTAGTTTCCATTTTCCATTATCCCCACATAACCCCAATGTACTATAGTAGTTTCCATTTTCCATTATCCCCACATAACCCTAATGTACTATAGTAGCTTCCATTTTCCATTATCCCCATATAACCCCAATGTACTATAGTAGTTTCCATATTCCATGTTCCCCATATGACCCCAATGTAGTACAGCAGTTTCCATTTTCTTTTTGAGAATCCCCATGTCATCACTTAGCACGCCTTCCTCATAGAACCACTGGAAACCGGGCGGTGTCTAGGGTATGGAGTGTAGGGATAGGGCATGGTGCTTCCTTGAAAAAACATCCGAGAGCCCAAGAGGCGTTTCGGAAAAGACAGATAGCTTCACCTTGGTGTTGGGGTTTAGGGTTTAGGGGTCTGCAAAAGAAGGATGTGGGTTGCAAATGGATTCCTGCAATATCCTGTTAGATCCTTCATGCTCCCCGTAATCCAGTGGCAAAGGTGAATCCTTCATCAAATGGGGCCTTTGCCTGTCTCATATAAATTCAAGCGAACCTCGTCAGCAACCAGTTGTCAGCTTCGTTTTGGCTGAGAATTGTTTTGCGGAACTTGTTCTGCGGGGCACAGACCATGCCTTTAAGTTATGGGTGATGAGGCCTGAAGGTTGAGGCAACAGATAAGGGGACGATGCTGGCCCTCATTAATGGAAGTTGATGCTTCAGGTCAAACAGCTAGTGAAGCCCAAAAAAGGTGCCACTGAACATATGACCACTGCTTGTTACAATGAAGCACCTCTTAGGGATGTGCTATTCTTTGATGTCGGAGACACCGCCACCGCATCCGGACTTTGGTGCTCGTCGGAGTCACCTCACTTCCTTACTGCTGACTATGGTTATTCTTCCCTGAGTAGGCCCCTGGGATATTTAATATTTTCCCCATTGGCTTTAATAGGGGACCCCATATATTAATATTCTTCAAAGGGTTTTAGTTGACAACTAAGTTCCTCCTACCAGTACAATTGTTACAACAATTGCTGCTGTTGCTGCTGGTACAACTATGATGGTGATGGTGATGATGATGGTGATGGTGATGGTGATGGTGATGCGATGCCACTACCACTATGGCGACACGACCACGATGCAGGCGGCCTTTATGTTGGCCACAGTGAAGAGGGAGTCAGGTACAGTAAGTTACTGTTGCGCTTTCACGGTACATGGTAGCTTCGCAGAAACCGGGGGACCCCAGTATAGAACCCCAAATACAGGAATCCTTCTAAGAAGGACACCTGAAAAGGTATCCTGCTAAACTCTGAACCCTCTAAAACCCACATCCCTATCCTATTATAGTAGTTTCCATTTTCTTTTCCATTATCCCTATATAACCCCCATATAACCCTAATATAACCTAATTCGAGAAATCCCCACTTCGGGAGCTCAGGAACAATGCAGCGCGGCCCTGGGAGACACACTTCGCAGTGTGGAGCAACTACAGGACCCTGATGTACCGTTGGGCTTTGGGGCTATTCAGGGTTGATTGAAAAAATGGGATTCCCAGAGCTTGGAAGGCATTCTTGGGAGCCCCTTTAATTTACATGTATAATCAGTCACCTTCTGGAGTGTATTGCGAGGATGGCAACCCTGATCCATTGCTTGACACTCGGTGCGTACAGGAGCTTTGTCGCGCAGCTGCCTCCTCAAGTGGGGCCTCCAAACAAGATTCTGGGCTGCTTTTTTTTTATCAGGGGTTCTAGTTACCCGAACCCTGAAAATCAGGACCCCATCATGGTCATATGATGGTTATAGGCAAGTTTTAGGCTCCGTATTATAGCCGTTGGGTTAGCTAAAATCTCCTTATGATGCTCTGGGGAAAACACATCCTGTCGAGGGGGTCGCCTGCTCTTTCAAAACTACCTTCAACCTACGCCCGATACCCTCAAATCACCATAGCCTGAGAGTTCCCACGCGTCGCCCCTTATAAGTTTGAAGCTTTGAGCATGTCATGTTGTGCGCTTGGAACTTTTGAGTCGCCCCTTATAGGTTTTAAGCTTTGAGCATGTCATGTTGTGCGCTTGGAACTTTTGAAATGACCGATCCCAAGCTGAGCGAAGTGGTTTTTGACTGTTGCGAGAAGCATGGACCTCCCCTTGAGTTGATTTAGCAAGCTGCAGCCTCAATGTCCTCACACCACTACATAATATTTGCTTTAATGTTGTTTCGCATCGTCTTTCCATTTGCGTCCCCACTACCGGGGTTATATCCCTGAAGCCCTAAACCTTAAACAGTAATTTCCATGCTTTCCATTATCCTTCTATATCCTATATAGCCGCCACATATAAAGCCTACAAGCCCTAAACCCTAAACCCTAGACTCCATGCTTAGCATCCCTTCAGCCAAGGAAGCACCTACGGGTGCTGCCACAGGTGCTACTACAGGTGCTACCATGGGTAGCACTTCGGGCAGCGCCACCGGTAACACCATGGGTAACACCATGGGTACCTTGCTTGGAGTCTAAGTCGGCAGGTTTCGTGTCCATCCGTATCTATTGTCAAGACACTCTGTGACTACCTGGGCCCCAAAGGTAGGCAAAAGAATAGCCCAAAATCCTTAAAAAAAAAACAGACCAAAAGGCAATTATTTCACATACTTTTGGGGTTCAATTATTTTACATACTTTTGGTGTTGAATTATTTTACATACTTTGGGGGATTCAATTATTTTACATACTTGATTATTTTACATACTTTTGGGTTTCAGGCAATGGGCTTATCTCTGAGTTCTTATAGGCCTGGCATGACCAACGCAGGGGAAGGTCACGTCTGGCAGTGGCTGCGACGGACCCATTAGGAGTCTAAGGTCCGTTCTATCGGCGCTTAATTTGCCCTGTATAATGTAGGGATAATGATAGTAATATAGGGGGGGTTCAGGGATTATAAAAAGATAATGGAAAAGAACATGGAAACTACTATTTAGGGTTTAGGGCTTAGAGGTATGTTGGAGACCCGTGATTTACAACCCCCCTCCTTTTAAGGGCCTGAATATTAGGATCCCTATGATCGTCCCTATTAAGGCACGGGGGGTTATTAATAAGGGGTCTTGGCTAGGGATCTTATACGGTATGTAATTTGTATTTGCATGTAACAACCCATGCAAGGGGACCATAGTTCCAACCTTACTTGGAAGCTTGCCCATGAGTAAAAGAACATCTGAGCTCATAATGTTGAGGACTGCAGTTGGGTGAGGGGGGGTGGGGGTGGCTGTTTTCCGAAATCTTCAGACATTCCTGCATGTCTTCCAGAATCCTAAGGTTTAAGCCCTACAACTCCCAAAGCCCGCGTACTACCATGGCTGCTACCCTGAACCCTGACGCCTTGATTACCTAGACATTGCAGTAATACTAATACTAATAACAATAGTAATAATCATAATACTAATAACAATAGTAATAATAACAACACTAATAACAACTAATAATGATAGTAACCCCAACGCAATGTTGTACCCCTCCCAGGATCTCACTGGCATCCTTCGCCTCGCAACCATTGCAAACACGAAGCCAACAATAGAGGGTTTAGGGTTTAGGGTTTAGCACCTTGCGGCACTCTCCAACCCCAAACCCATGGCGCGAAACGCTGAGGTTTGAGCCCTAAATCTGACACTAGCCCTTCAGCCACACATCTAAAGCCCAAAGCCATACACAGGAAGCCCCAGACTTCCAGGTACCACCACAGGTACCCCCATTCCAACAGCCAACGATCACTCCGCGGGCCCCACGGCCAACGTGGCGCCTTCCACCTTTGAACCCATGGGCGGCTCGGCTCAAGGCTGTTGGGTCTGAGGGTTTGGGACTTCGCACTTGTGACTGGTTCAGGGTTTGGGATTCAGGGTCAGAGTTTTGAGTGCTGCGGCCTTAAGCTTATGGTTGGGGGGTTTGGAAGAGGCTCGTTGAGTGCCGTCTACCATTGCAGGCCCTGGTTACTAAATGCATGTTGTGTAAGGAACCCAAGGCCACATTTCTTGAAAGTATTGCAGAGGCGTGAACGGTTACGAACAAATCACCCTTTTTTCTACTTGTTGTAGGGCCCTGCATTGCACGCCCTGCCACCCAGTGTCCATGTCAATTTGTGCTGACGCTCCACCTTTAGAACTATTTAGAAACCCTACACCCTATGCTATCACCTCCGCTATTAAAACCGTTTTAGCCTCCTAACCTTTTTTTGTTCGCGAGTCTTTGGGCCTACATAGGGCCTTTCCTGAAGTTAGGGGAACGTTTTAGGGGCCCCCATACCAAGGATTATAATATATTGGGGTCTATATGAGGGTCCCTCAGTTTGGAGCTGAGACAATTTGAGCGACAGTCGAAACTCCTTACAAGGGGTTATTTGGGGACTATAATGGGTTTGTACGGGTACTAGGAGTTTAGACTACAGCTCGCATTGCTGCTGGTTTTGAAGTTTGGGGGTGGCGGCGGCGATGGTGCTGCTTCTGGGGCTTGGCAGTGGTGATAGCGGTCGCAACAGCATCGTGCTCTTGGCCCTGCAGGGTTTTCAGGGGTGCAGGCTGTTTACCACCTCTTCACGTGCTACACAGGTTGTTCCCCTGAAGCAACCCGTTACATGATCCCCATCTGCTTAACCCTAAAACCCATCCTCCCTGTGGAGCTGCAAGCTGAGGTGGAGTCTCAGCCTCCTCCTTTGATTCCATGTCCGGGGTCGCACCTTCCGGCTACGAAAACATGGCCGGCAACCAGGGTCAAAGTGAGCCTCCCCCAGACCAGGGTTTAATTGGGGTTGAAGATTTAAGGTGTGGTGCTTAAAGTTTAAGATTTGAACTGCAGGGCCCCGGGTCTAGCATTCAAGCTTTTGGGCTAAGGGTTTAGGATTTGGATTTATGATTTAAGGCTGAGGGTTTGGGGCTTGTGGGGCTGAGGGCTCGGGAGAGGATTTCGGCGTCACGGTAGCATGGGATTTAGTAGGAATATATAGTCACACTTAAGTAGATAGAATATGGCTTTGGGTATATTAGAATAAGATCCCCATATACCCCATATTCTATCTACTTAAGGGGGGCTATAACCCCAATATATACCCCACTATAATATAGTAGTTTCCATTTTCTTTCCCATTATCCCTATATTTAACCCCAATAATATTCCCCAGGTTCTATCTACTTAACGGGGACTATAACCCCAATATATATCCTACTATAATATAGTAGTTTCCATTTTCTTTTCCATTGTCCCTATACAATGTTCTATTTACTTAAGGGGGACTAATAGACGGACGTTTAGCGCTTTTTTGTGAGGTCCGTGTGGCCAGGCAGACGTAAATTTGGGGCATGTATTCGGGGACACCTATTCGTGGAAAGTTTCCATATCAGCTATAGTCTAAACTCCTTGCAGGGGGTTATATAAAGGTTATATAGGGGACTATGATAGGGGATATTAGGGGGGATACTGGGAGTTCAGACTAATTATAGCTCATGTGAAGCTGCGGGGTTCGAGCACTTCCAGATCTTCTAATGATGCAGATTTAAAGTTGTTGGTTTGGAATTTATCAGGATATGCTTCTTTCTAGTGATGTTAGGAGTACCTGGCGATTAGACAGCGAAGAGCCAGGGGGACGTCTGCGACATCCAAACGAGTTGCGCCCGGAAATCCTAGTCACAAGGAAGTTCCCAAAAACCAGAGCCCGCTCTAACACTTAGAGCCGAAGCCTTAACACCTATATCGTAAAAATGAAACCTACATCCTAAAGAATAAAACCGGAATCCCATTTCCTAAGCCATAAACCGGACATGGTTTTTCCTTGTAGCCTCCCCCAGTACTTACAACCCCACCCCCTTGACATTGGACGTTTCCACTGTGCTGTACATACTAGAATATACAGGGGATATTTGCAGGAACATGTATAACATATGCGGAACACCAATATTGGGGGAGGGGTGTTAACGTGAAAGCTCTACATACCTACATCCTAAACCCTGCATGCTTCGAGCCAAGCGGGAGGGAACAAATCCTAAACCCTTAGACCCTAAACCCCTAACCCTTACACCCTAACCCCTAAATGCTTAAACCCTGAACCCTAAACATACGAACCCAGGCATGCCCCAGGGCTTCGACTCCATGAATGGAGTTTCTTGTCTGGGGGGGGGGGGGGCCGGGCATGGTTTCGGGTTTAGGGACCTTGGGGTTACCAAGGTGTTGAGGTTTAGGGTTCGGGGTCATAAAGGCTTGCAGAAGGCTTCTAAAGGGGTTATCAAGGGGATATGGTATCTCGAAGTCTGGGAAACTGCCCCAAGTCAGCAACAGTTGGACAACGGTTTGCTTTATGGCATAGACCTCACGCCAACTTTACGCCCACCCCGAACCCTAAACCTTAGACTCTAAACCCTAGGCCCGAAACCCTGAACCCTATACCTAAAACCTTAAACCCTAAACCACAGACCGACCTGAAAGCGTGGCTCAAGTAGGTAAGGTTTGTGAAGCGGGTGTCGTACCTATGCCTGCTGAAGGTTGAACCCACTTGCTGGTGCACAGACATACTGGTTTGAGGGGTTCTCCTGTCTTTTGTCGTTCCTTTGCCTGCTGAAGGTTGAAGCCACTTACTGGTGCACAGACATACTGGTTTGAGGGGTTCTCCTGTCTTTGAGGTCTGAGCTTTTCCATTGCTTGCCAGCTACATGCCACAGGGCCGTGTTCTAGAACATTTCCGTGGACTCGTGCCGCGGAGAAAAGGTCCCATCAAAAAAAAACTAAACTCCTAAACCCTAAAACCCTAAAACCCTAAACCCTGTTTGGCGGGCTCCTGGGATGGGTTTCTAGGCTTGTGGGATGAAGGGGATAAACGCTCTCCCTCCGCTAGCTTAGCCCTGCCAAAGTAGCGCAGCAACCCATGCAGCCTGCTTGTAAGATTTTGTTTGGGGGAAGGGTACTTGAAGCAAGGACCACGCAAGGAGAAGGGAGCATTCAGGGTTACACCCTAGACTTCCTGAATATCACGTTTAACGTATACATAGACCCATGGGTCATGTTGCAATGCTGGCGGAACCCCAAGGAAGTCGTACAAATATGTAATTTGGGCTATAAGGTTTCAAGCTTAAAGGAGCTCCAGTCCCAGCGGATGCGCTGAGAGCTATAGCCTCCCTTAAGTAGATAGAACAAAGCTTTGGGTTTATTATAATAAGATCCGCATATACCCCATATTCCATCTACTTAAGGGGGATACGCAAAAGGAATTCCAGGCCATCGTGAAGTCTCTGCTGACAGTCCCAATGTCATCATAAGCTTTCTCTAGAGTTTTTCCGGCTTCCTAAACCCTAGACCCCCTCGCCAAACCAGCATTGCATGCCTCCATTATTGATTAGATCAGTATCGCAAAGCATGTGGCACCTCTATGGGCCACTGTCAGTTAGACTGACTTACCTCCCCCCTATGTGTGCCGCCTACTAATAAACCACTTTGCATATTAGGTCTCTTGCAAGAAACAGTCGATATGACAGTTGGCGTGTCTCTGTCTGTGTGTGCGTTTATCATTACGGGCCGTGGTTGAGACCATCCCACCCTGCTGTGCTGGACCCCGGTCCCGCGATCTTTGGAATTATTTTCAATTAGTATCATAGCATTACCCTAAAGAATTATTACAAATATCATTTTTATCATAGCTCTAAGGAGGCTACAGCAATACCTTGGGCTACTTTAGTCCTGAGAAAACAGCCAAGGTGCAAGCCAATTCCTTTGACACCATGAGCGGGGTCACGGGTCAAAATTTCGAGACAATGAACATGGGGTGGCTTCGGAAGCAATCTAGTCTTTCAATTCCTGGCCCTTTCTCAAAAAATCGACGTCATCCTCGTGCCCCAATGCTCAATCTTTTCTGAGCAGCCAAGGACTTGAGATTACAAGGTTTGAGCGGTGTTTTATCTTCCTTGGTCTGGTTGTAGGAATTCCGTGACCGATCCAGTATTTCAAGCAAATGTCAATCAGCTTTGGGTGGATAACTCTGGCGCCTCAGACCCTTCTCTCAACCCGTATAACAATGCTGTCTGCACGTAATTCCCGCTATTGGCAATCCCCATGGCGGAAAGTTTTCGAGATGTAAGGCCTCTGGAATGCTCTTGTCCGGAATGGCTGCTTATTGGGGTGATATTGGGATAATGGAAAAGAAAATGGAAACTACTACTACTATAGGGTATACATAAGGGCTATATAGGGGAATGGAAAAGAAAATGGAAACTACTATATTGCAGAGGGAAGGGTTATGCATCGCACAGCCTGCCTCAACCCTGGCACAGCTATGGAAGCTCCTCACCGAACAGTCCAGCGTCGCACGTTTCTACTTTTGGCCCCTCATGCTACCACGTCAAATGCTGCCGTCTAGATATCGTCTTTAGGATGCCATCCGGAACCCAAAGCCACTTGCAGTAGCCCCCGAAAATGACAAGCCCTGAAAGGCATGCCCCATCCAGAAGCCTAAAGCCTAAACGAGAGCCCTTACTTAAGGGCCTGCCAACCTTCATGGGGTCTGTGAGCTCGGAGGTTCACACGCCTTGAACCTTAACCTGCGCTATGAGGATCTCACATCCAAGCGCGCATCATGCTCTTCAAGAACGTCACTAAGAAACTTACAGATGGCAACTTGTAGCCCTAAACCCTAAAACCCTAAGCCCACAACACTCGACCCTAAACCCTAATTAGAGCTACATGTTTGTAGAAGCCCCAGGAACGGCGTCATGCCCTCAGCCTACGACGGCATGAACAGTATGGCGCCCGCCTTCGACAACATGAATGGGATGATGCCCAACAACTTTGACATGAACTTTGCCTCTGAAGGTTCAGGGTCTAGTTGTCTGGTCCATGCGAAACCTACCTTTGTGGGCCTGTGTGCTACATTATCCTTGCTATACCCACTCACAAGACTGGGTTTTTGTTATACCCACCCACAACACTGGGTTTTGTAGCGTCCAGGTCCAGTTGAGGTTTCTGGGTTGGCATAGCTAGGACCCATCAACTGCCTGCAATTATGAGGTCCAGTCAGCGCAGTGTTGGGCTGGAATTCATGCAATTTTGGGGGAATCATGTCTTGATTGCTCCTTTAATTTCTTTGATGTCTATTACGTTGATCTGTGGTTGAGGTATGTCTCCTTACCACCTACACATCCGCTGCCTTGGACCCCCTGTTGCTGTGGCTTTGGTTTTTTTGCCTTGTTGTTTTTGTATGGGCTCTACGTTCTAACATGTGTTCAGATGCAAGCCAAGCAAGAGAAGTGCATGTGGGCTGCAAGGCGCTATTGTCAAGGTTCTCAATGCTCAGCCTTATTCTTGACTATGTCTTCTGCTAAAGCTTACTTAGCCTTAGCTCCTCCAAAGGGGCATTTGGTCAGGGAGTTCCACACTCAAAGGCAGAGATGCCTTGAATACCTTTTATCAATGGTGCCTAGTTGTCTTGTTAAAGAAGCCTTGGTAGCACATTTTCGGGAGACCCCAACCATAAATCAGCAGCAGGGGACAGAGCCTTTTTGGTCCTTCTTCGGCAAGAGATACATCCGGCGCTGCGCAAAGTCCCACGCAGTATGGGACTGTGTAGGATTTGGCCGCGGGCCTCGGAGGCGTGCATTTGCGAATGTACGGGACTCCTTCGCTGGGCCCCTCGTTGAGAACAAACACATGCTACGGCTTTGTGAGCCAAAGTAGACACCCAAAATACCATAAAACAGCGAACTCCAGAAATCTTTACGCGTTCATGCGCCCAGCCCTAAGCCCCAAACCTTGATCTGTATGCCCTATATACCCTGCATTAAACCCTGGAAGCCCAGTTACCGAAAAAATTGGGTTCCTGTCCTTAAGTCCCTATATAAATCTATACTATCTATAACCCAAGGACCTACTATATGGGTACCTGGGCTTCTAGGGAAACCCTAAACCCTAAGCCAGGAACGGGATGATGAATCCAGCCTACGCTGCCCGGCCTCTGCTTTAGGTTTCGGTGCGTTTTCCCTGAGCCTAACCCACTTGGTCCATAATCTAGGTATATGGTATAGGTTATAGTTATAGGGTTTAGGGTCTAGAGTAGGTACCTTAGTATATACTTAGGGCCCAAAGCGGTTCCGATCTAGTTACTTTGGGACCAAGTATATATGTATATATACATACTATGTAGCTACACAGACCCTTTGGGTAAATACCTTGAGGATTGCAACCCAAGAGGCAAGAAAGGAAAAGCGCAGCTTCTGTCCAAAATCGAAGGGCTCAAACTGAGGAAGCACTGCCAGAATATCTTGACTACCCCTGGACCCAAGAGCCTCAAGGGGTTCGTCCCTAAACCCCAAAACCCGAAAGCCTCAAAGAGTTCGTTCCCTCTAGCACATGTGACTCAGCACGCAGATTAGATGAAGATACAACGCCAAATACTATAATCCGTGCCATAGGGACCCATGAAGTTTTACCTGATTTTTGGAAAGCGTTATGCCCATAAACCCCTGCATACTACCCGTATATAGCCTTTATATATAACCCTGTAGAACTTATATAGCCCTTAAAGCGTACAAACGACATTCTTCAAATATTGGCAAACCTCCCACACTTGCACCAAAGTATCATCATCCCTAGAGCAGAGGCTCCCAAAACCAGATTCACACACATCTAAGGTAAAGCATAGGGCAGTGTAAGTTGAGGGGCAGACGGTAGACTCCCAAGCCTTAAGTCCCAATCTCCACACATCCTTACGCAGCTGAAGATCTATAGAGATTACCTGAAGATCACAGGGGTCACTCCTAAAGAAATATGTGGCAAGGAATTGCAGGCAAGAAGATATCAGCTAATTGCAATGGGCGGCCCAGCGTTTGATGGCAAGGTCAGGTTCCGAATCATATCTGACGTGCCTCATGCTATTGCTTCTCGAAACAGTCAACGCATGTTGCCAAACAACAATGGATCTGGGCAGTAATTTCTTGCTGTTTAAAAGTGTCGGGACAGTATGGGAATGAGGTCAAGGTTGTTTGTATGTCATTTGGGGTTATAAAAATTACTTACGTTTAGACCGAGATGTTGATTGAACCCTTCTTTTACACCTCAGAGAAGCCCGCTATAAGACCTTAATACACACCTCTCATAATACGTTTAATTCAAACCACAAAGCCCAGACGGCATTAGGGGGGGCGGGTGGGAGGGGCCGTAAACCCTAAACTCCCTAAACTATCAACCCTACTCAGGATGCCATGGGAGGGGTCGGGCATCCTGGCTTCGATGGTATGGTGGGCATGGGGCCCCAGGGCTTTGGCGATATGCTCCTGGGACTGGACCGGTATAGGACCTAGGGCACACCCTCCACCCTAAACCCCAAAACGGTTTCAGGTTTAGGGGTTTGGGCCGTTAAGGGTTTGGGCAGCAAGCAGCTTCACCAAAAAAGGGCTATACCCAAGGGACAGAGATCCGTAATGACGTAATGATTATGGGAGTGTCAGCCAGGGATGTGATGGTTTAGGGCATGGGGTTTAGACTCGACGAAGTTAGAAGAAAGCCTTGATACAGGGCCTACGCATACTCTGGGTAGGAATAAGAACCTAACCTCTGGCTAAGAGTCCAAGTCATATACGTACCCAAAACCTGTATAAAATTCACCAGTACCAAATCCTCAAGTACTTAATTGTTGGGTACAGGGACCCTTAGAAGGCAAGCAATCTTTTCAGGGTTCCCTTGAAGTCAAGGCTTCACAGTATTCAAAGCGCCGGAACTCACCTAGGCCTCACTCTACATACATTGGACAGCATCTCACATACCTTGGGCTGGAAGACCCGGCCTCTCGCTGCGTTCAAAAAACAGATATGTAGTAAGGGGATTTTGGTAACCCCAACCCCCAAAATAAGGACGCTATAACCATCACATGATAGTCATAGGGTCCTAATTTTGAGGGTTGGGGTTACCAAAATCCTTCTATTAATATGATGGAAGCAATGTCCCCAGCCGTCAACAGCACCTCAAACTTCGAACCAATAGTAGTTTCCATTTTCTTTTCCATTATCCCAATATAAACCCCAATATAACCCTAATATTAACCCAAGATAACCCTAACATAAATCCCTATATAAACCCTATATAAACCCTATATAAACCGTATATAAACCCTATGTAAACCCTATATAAACCCTATTTAATCCTTATATAAAACCCTAATATTAGAGTTTTCAACCCTGGGAGTCCTGCAGTCAAAGGCCCTTGAACTGAACATCTTGCACGTGCCGTACGTTGCATGTGTTTTAGTTGTATATATGTATATGAGTGGTTGTCAAAATTATGGTCCCTTTTTGGGTACCCTAAATACTAGTTGCCGTATTATAATAGGGATCCAAAAAGGGCCCATCATTTTGACAACCACCCATATAGGTGTGTATATATATGCCTCTATACATGTTAAGGGCTCGTATCAAGATATGCCCAGAACCGTGATTGAGTTACCAACCATGGGGCCAGTTGAAACCCTAAACCCTAAACCGTACTAGAGTCCTTTAGTAGTAGTAGTAGTAGTAGTAGTAGTAGTAGTAATGGAGTCCTCGAGACGAATTGAGGATGCCAGCGCAGCACGTCCAGCAACTGCAGATGCAGGCGCAGCTGCAAGCGCAGATGCAACTGGCCTGCTCTGTACGAAGTTTTTTTTGCTTGCTGTTAAAGAACTTTATTTGAGTTACTATTTTGGAGAACCCTTAGTTATTACTGTATATATATATAGAAACACACCATATGGTAACTTGAATTAAGTTCCTTAAGCAGCAGCCCAGGCAATCGCAGATGCAGTCTCAGATGCATTCGCAGATGCAACCGCAAATGCAGCAGATGCAGCCACAGATGCAAATGCAGCAGATGCAGCAAATGCAGCAGATGCAACAGTGTCTGGGCCATTGTTTCGAATTCATTGAGTGTTTCTTAAGTGATTATTGGGTAGAGACATGAGCTGCGCTTGCTTCTGTCGGAGTGCATCAGGCTGTAGGCAACAGACGGAGAACCCATATGGGGATTGTCCTAAAT